GGGCCGCTGCTGTCGTCTCCCCCGCTACCTGTGTGGCCTTCCGACCTGGCCCAGACCCCTGGGTGGGCTCTGGGGGCTTTTTCGCCGGCTTTTAAGGAAAGTTCTGAATGGGGCGAGTGTGAGAGGCTCTGTCTTCTCTGCAGTCCGCTCTGCCCGCACACTGTGGGGGTCGCGCCGTTTGTTTGATTCCTGGCGGAAGGCGAGAGGGCCAGCAGCTGCGAAGCAGGTAATTCTGCAGTGCCCCGGGAATTCTGGACACGCCGCTGGCGTGGAGAATGTCCGGCTGAGGATGCGGTGGCCGTGGGGGAGGGCTCCATCCTGAGGTCCTGGATAGCAGCTGAACCGGGAGGGAAGGTTAGGGTACCCCCCTCCGGTGGGACCTGGTCTGGAGCCGAACCGGGCAGGGGATACCCACCGGTTTACCTACGGGGATGGTCCTGAGTGGAGAAAGGTTCGTGCGCCCTGACCCCCGAGGGCGCAGCCCGGGAGGCGCAGCATTTACTCCCCCATCCCTTTTTGAAGGGAGGTTGAGTTTTGCTTGGGTTGAAATCACTTGAAAACTTCTGTTCGAGTCACAGTTATGCTACCATCCTTCTAAAATTATTCTTTAAGATGACGACCAGTGAAAGTGTGGCCAACACCCTTTCTCCCACCCTTGAGATCTTAACGGGGACTCCCCCTTCCGGGCCCTTTGCTCCCCTACCCCCCAGCAGATGGCTTCTCTTCCCGGGGTTTACATCAGGGAGGTCCTCTAAGTCGGAGAGAGAATTCTGTTTCCAACCGAGGTTCCTTTACCCCCAAAAAAGCCATTTGTGTGTACAAGACCTTTTTAAATGTCTCCTCGTAGAAAAACTGAAAGTAGAAAGAAAGGAAGCAATTTCCGAGCATGTCTGACCACCCGTTCTCACACACTCTCAGCATCGGGTTACAGGGTCCTGGGAGCCCCCACCCACATTCTGCGGCCCCACATGGTTAGAGCCATAGTCACTCTACCAGCTTGTAGGACCTCCGGGAGCCCCCAACACCCCAGGACCCCCTCGCCCTGCACGTCCAGGCCTCAGGAGGCACAGAGAGGCACAGCGCAGCACAATGATATAGGGATAAATATTAAGCCGTGACATTGACGTGCCCGGCGCCTCCCCTCCCCCGCGCTCCCGGCACACTCTGGGCTGCTCGGCACGCCCCCTCCCGTCCCACCGCGTCCGTCCGGAGCAGCGCGCTCATCTCCGAGGGGCCCCTGCAACCTTTCCACGCAAAGACCGCTCCAGCCCTGCAGGGCAAGAAAAGTAACTTCAATTTTCTTGGAGGAACCAGGAAGGATTAAGCGGCTTGGGAGCGGGCAGGAGTGCGCGGAGGTAGTGATGGGGGCTTCGTGAAGGAGGAGGGGACTCTGGATGAAGCCCAAGGAAGGCTTCTGGGATGTCTGATTGCACTTTCTTCTTATCTTCTTGTCTTCTCTTTTAGGTGCAATGAGTGCGGACTGAGACACGCTCCGGCAGAGACTATGTAATCGTCTCGGCGTCCGTGCCGGGGACTTCGCTTCGGAGAGGGAAGAGGAGGGATCCGCTGGCTCCTCCGGCGGCAGCGACGAAGCAGGCGGAGTTTCGCAGCGGCGGCACCAGGGTTGCGCCAGCCCGCAGGGAGGTCGCTCCATAGCGGCCGCGAGAGCTCGAGCGCCCAAGCGCCGGATCCAGCCGGGCTAGCGAGAGCAAGACCAAGCTCCGGGGAGTCCGGGAGAAGGCGAGCGGCGGCCGAGAGCTAGCCGAGCGCACCCCTGTGCGACCCAGCGACACCGTGCCGGGCGGCGTCCAGGCGGCATGGAGAAGGACGGCCTGAGCCGTGCGGACCAGCAGTATGAGTGCGTGGCGGAAATCGGGGAGGGCGCCTATGGGAAGGTGTTCAAGGCCCGCGACCTGAAGAACGGAGGCCGTTTCGTAGCGCTGAAGCGCGTGCGGGTGCAAACCGGCGAGGAGGGCATGCCGCTCTCCACCATCCGCGAGGTGGCGGTGCTGAGGCACCTGGAGACCTTCGAGCACCCCAACGTGGTCAGGTGAGCTGGGAGCTGCACCGGTGGGGTCGGGGGCTACTCGTCCCGGGAGGGCGGGTCCTGTCCGAGGAGCCTCAGGTCTTGGAAGGTGCGGGGCTTCTGGGGACGCCTGGCGCGCCCTTGTTGGCCTTACAAAGTGAAAGTAAGTTTTGGCAATAGAGCTGTGAGCCAGAGAGCAGGTGACCTTGCTGGACATGCAGAAAGACAGTTCAGAAAACCTGACCTGCTCTGACTTCCCCGCCATTGGCAATAGAGCTGTGAGCCAGAGAGCAGGTGACCTTGCTGGACATGCAGAAAGACAGTTCAGAAAACCTGACCTGCTCTGCCCCCCCCGCCACTGTGCCACTTGAGTGTTTTCCCCTTATACGCCCTGAAGGAGGAGTTGGGGGAAGTCTGGTGTCTTTCAGGGACAGAGTAAGGCAACCCAAGGCACGCCCCACCAAGCCACCGCATGTTTTTCCTGACCTTTGGGGAATTTTTGAGAGACCGAGAATGAGAGAGGTATCGGGGCACGGTGTAATAGTGAAAAAAGAACTTTATGGGTAGAAATGACTTTTAAAAATGCAGAAACTTACAAGAATACTTTTGTCAATCACGTTCAGTTTCTGTTTATTAAAGTTACATAATAATTCCCGATGGTCTAAGGAGTTTTAATGCTGACGGCCAAACAGTGCCATTTAAATTTTTTTTCTTCTGAAACTGTTACCTATGTGTCTGTATGACTTTATGACTCTGGGATGGCATAATCCCTAGGCTAATTCTCCACAGGGCTAGATCTGAGTCCAAAATGTGATAACTTTAGATTCTTAATACTCACCCTTGCTTTTTCTGGACGGGTGGTACCCGTGGGTGGGGAGACAGCAGTTTGTAAAGTCTCTCCGGTGTGATATCCGGAATTAAATGAAAGTCTGTATGTGTGTGACTGGGGATAATGGTGTTTTCTTAGTGACCCTGGAATTTCCCCATTGTGAAGTTGACATTGTGGCTTTGTCATCCTTTTCTTTTTTAAACAGAGATGCATAGCTTTAAGTCAAAAAGGAATGCCCAGAAACATTGTGTTATTTTACCTTTCTCAAGTTCTTTAGATAATACGGGGAGAAAGATCTTAACATGTTCTCATCCATCCAAGGTATCTGTATTGCAAATTCATGCCTACTGTGTGCACTGTGGATGGAATTATGTAAATAAGGACAGCTAAATATTTTTGTAAAAAGTCAAACAATTTAACATTAGTCATCAAAGTGGAGAGACCGAGGACTGACCTTTGAAATACCAAACCCTCCACAGACTCAAGGAGACCAGGCGTCTACAGAGTCTTCCTGGGAGGTTTTAACTTGTCTCTTCTTATCCCAGGCTAGTGATTTGTGTGGTGCTTTGTTTCCAACACAGTTAGACTCAGAATAGAATGCAGCGAAGAATCATAAATACATAAATAGGGTGGTAAGTGGCTAAAGAGACGGGACCTCATTATACCTCTACTTTACCTAGTAAAGGAGGCTGGGACAAAAGATACTGAGAAGGAGTGTTTTCGAAGATGGGATTATATATAAAAGCAGTAGACTACCCTTTTCTGCTCTGTTTTCTTTGTTAAAAACAACAAAAACCCTGGTGGGGGGCTGCTTTGTAATACTGAAGGAGAAAGGGGAGAGTACATTTAGCCCCCTAACTTAGTTACCTTCCCAGAGGAACCACGAAGTGCTTTTGGGAAGGTAAATTCCACCATTAGAATTTTAATTACCAAAGTTCTTGTTTGATTTTGTCTGTTGCCCCTGGAGTGTCCCATTAAGGGTGATCATCAAGTACATGAAATAATGTTCTTCATACATGCAGGCATCCCTGAGTGACACCGTACTTTACATAGCGTGATCCGTTTTTATAACAGAGATTGTTTTTACTGTTGTGCTGGTAGGTTTGGACTGATCCGTCCTTTTCTCTTGATTTATCCTCTTGAGATTTTTCACTGACCCATGGCTTGCATTCTGTATCCTGTGAATTTCAGGAGGAAGACAAAGATACCATTTCTAAAATTATGTTAAGTGGTGATGACACTAATCTCTTAGAGTTGTGAGGATAAGGTGTCTACGAAATCACTTTGGAAATTTAAATGTAGTTCCAGTACCTAAGTATTATTTGTATCCAAGCAGAGTTGTGGAACCCTGGTCCTGGAACAGGTTCCCAGGAAGACATCAGTTCACCTGCCCATTTTTGTAGGACAAATGTTCCTCAAACCCAGACTTTATACTCTCTGGAACCAAGAAACGACTTGAGTATCATTAGCCTGTAGTTTGTCAGAAAAGATGATCAGTCCTGTAACACGAACTCGAGTGACACTTGAGGAAATTATCGGTGATGTCACTCTCACAAGCTACAGATCTCCATTCCCTTTTCGTTTCCTTCCTGTTTCTTCCCTTGTGTCTGCCTTGGGGCAACCATTGGCCCCCATGACTTGCTCAGCCAGACCAAGAATTCTGACTTTTAGAGGTTGCTAGTATTCGTTCAGACAGGATAGACAACCAAGGACAGGTGAAGACAGTTCTTTCTCTTCTAAGGGAGAGTTGTCAAAATTGGGCCCCCTAACTTGTGATATTTTTTTTGTTGCCCCCAGGATCAGTTTTACAGTCTTTTGCCTAGTTCTTTAATGGTTTCTAAAAAGGACAGTTGCTTTTATAAATGCCTTCAAGTCATAAGTAATTGATCATAATTATAGGCCCTCCCCACAGACAGTTAAGCCTCTAAGCTAGAAGCAGCATAATAAACATATTAGTTTTTTCAAAAGTTTTAAGATTTAATTTTGATGGATTTGCCAGAAAAGCTGACTTGTTATTGCTGGTACTGCCACTGCCAGCATGCACAAGGATAATGACTTGAAATTCTTGCTTACCTGTGCTTGATGTATCCCAGGCCCAGGCTTGATCAGCTTGTCAGAGTCTAGGATGTAAATTTGCTCTTATTTTACAGTTGGTAATCCCCAATCCTGGCGGTTTTGCTAGCATCATACTTTAGTATGACCCTGTATTGGAGCTTCTGCATGCTATAAAACGAATCCTGTTTTATATCCTGAACTAAAAAAATAGAGAGAGAAAATAATAATATGTATTGTCAGCAGCTTGTCATTCACCAGTATTTATTGAGGAACTACCATGTGCCAGACACTTCTAGGAGCTCGGGATACAGCAGTGAACAAATCACAAAAAAGTTTCTACACTTACAGAACTTATGCTGTAATGGGATAAGAATTTCTTTTTTTCTTTTTAAAAACTCACTTGTTTTGGGGCCAGCAGGTGGTGTGGTGATTAAGGTGGTGGACTCCTACATGACCAATCATGGTTTGAGTTCTGGACCTGGTGGCTTGAAATTCACACAAGGCACATGTATGTGCATGCCCAGAGTCCCAGGAGCAGAATGGAGGAAAAGGGATTATGGCATGGTCATCCTGCTGGGAGGTGATTTTTCATTTTCCCTTTCACTGTCTTTCTGTCTCTCTTCAGCAAGTGCACGCACCCTGTAGCAAAACCGGAAAAACACTTGTCTTCATTTTGATTCCTTGTTTTGCTGTACTTGACATTACTAGTTGTATAGTGCAACTGATAGGTATCGTAATTTGGTAACCAGGAATTTGCTGATTGAGTTAGCAAAATAACCAAAACTCTAATCAGAATGAAATGCTTTTTAAATATTAATTTTCACCTTAAGGATATACAAATCGATCTATATAAGGAGGCATTGATATTTAACTAATATATGTGAACATTTGTGCCTCATTTATTCAACAAGCATTTAAAAAGAACCTGTCCCTTAAAATCTTGATGCTAAGAACTGGGAAAAATACATAGGTAAATCATACCTGACTACTCCTCCTAAGTGGTTATCCGACTGTGTTTGAAGGGATAAGATGATCACTATAACCCTGATACAGAATAACTTATATGCCATAAGAGAGATAACAGGTAATGCTATCTGTATTGTCCTTAGGGATTAAATTTATTAGTGTAGCAATAAAAGTAATTAAAGTATTGCTTCTGAACACTAAAAGTCATTGCATATTACTGAATAAATGTGCGATGTCTGAATGTTCAAATATGTTAAATTGTTATTAGAATATTTAGTCGCTGATTTAAAATGACAAAAGAAAAAGCTGCACAACTCAATGATGGTTCAAGGAGAGTTTTCTAATTTTTTGTTTATTTTTGAAGATCTCAGTAATACAGCATGAAAGAGTAAAAAGATGGGTTTCTCTTGAAAAACCCAATCATTAACGGTAGGAGAAATGCGGCATATTATTTAACTCAGTACTAAGGCAGGTCTTCAGATGATTTAGCTCATAGGAATCTTCCTAAATAAAAGTTATTTTGTGGTTGAGTAGTGTGTTTCTTAGGGCTTGTTTCAGTGAAAGTGACAGTTTAATTTTTCTTTTAAATGTCAATGGGTTAAAAGTATGTTTGTTCCTTCAGAGTAACTTAAAAGGTTTCCAATTGATCAAGGTCGTTGAGTAAATAAACATTTTCACAATGGTGCCCTGCTTATTCCTTGTCCCTGCAAAAGAACTTGATAATGCTAAATTTTTGACATTGCAGTTCTGTTCTTTTTACACAACTATTATCAGCATGGAATTAGAATTTCTCTATGGAATCAAAGAGAAAATGCTCTATAAAAGGAAAACTTGTATAAACCTGGATATCGTTTCAGGTATTTCCTATGTTTAAGATAGGAGTAAATGACTATCTATGAAAACAGATTCCTTGTTAAAAGTAAATTATTCCTTTTTTAAAGAAAATATGACTCATTATTAATGATTGCTTAGGAATCATTACGAAGTCATGACTACTAGGATTGGAAGCACTTGATAAACCTCTCAGCCTTTGTATATTCCAGATAAAGAAACCAAAGCCCAGAGATAAAGCAGTTTGTCTGTCGTGCCTTTTGAAAATTGTTGACTTATTCTTAAATCTGAGTAGCAATTAAGAATTTTTTTGATTATTTGATGGTAAGAAGTTAAGTGAGGA